AACCTCAATCTGATGATAGCCAGACTTTAGATCAATCTTAGTGAAGTACTTGCTACCCTGCACTCGATCCAACAAATCATCTATCCTTGGTAACGACTCAACATTTTTGACTGTTATATCATTAAGACTTCTATAATCTATACACATGCGTACCCCGCCATCTTTCTTTGGTACGAATAGCACAGGCGCACCATAGGGCGAGGAGCTAGGTCTTATCCACCCTTTTTCCAACAATTCATCAAGCTGGGCTCGTAGTTCATCTAACTCTTTAGGTGACATTCGATATATAGGCCCCTTAGGAATCGAGCTTCCTGGTATGATTTCGATGCGGTGTTTGATTGGTCGTTCTACCACACCACTTGGGGCCTCTGCCACATCTGCGAATTCTTTCAAAATCCTTTCAATCTCAGGGGATTTTGTCTCTTCTTTAGCTTCACCTTCTTTCACTGGCTGCACATATGCAACAAAAACTTGATCATACATGTTATACTTTTTCACATGGCGGGCGAACGCGGGGACACTCATACAACAATGAGCTAAGTTGCTTTCCTTACCTGATTCATGAAAAAGGCGGATTTTCTTTTTTCCACCTTGCGGACTAGGGAGCCAACACTCATGGTCCCTTAACTTCACATCCGCATTTGTAGCTTCACCCCAATCCATGCCTAGGAGAATGTCAAAAGGAAGATTATCTTCCACCAAGAGCGTCAGAGAGTGGAGAACGCGTTCCACCTTCCCCTCTGCTTCGAGCCGGAAGTATATCTTGACCCCTTCAACATACTTATCCATTACAGTTATTGTACTATTAGCTAACTTACTTACTACGGGCTCATCCAATTTCTTTACCTTAAGCCTGAGACGCAACTTTTGCAAACCTTTCTTACTTTTATAGCTGCGTGTTGACCTTGTGTCAACCATTCCACCAACTCTCACTTTATTTACTTCAAGATCTGCAATAATTAACTGTCCTCTTCGTTTTTTCATTTCAGTTCAGGCTTGGCGACGAGCGGCCAACTCATCACCCATGCTAGCGAGGGATCCACCTAGAGAGGTACACACACTTACTACCTCTGGACAGTTAACTAGGTGGGGATTGTCTTCCTCTTCAGTTTCTGCCAACGGAACCTTCGGATGGGAGGATGTCTTTCTTTCTACATCCGAAGTTCCCGTAGAGGCAACTGAGACCCCTACTGGTTGTTCCCTTCTAGTATTTTATAGTCAGGGCAATAGGGAACAATGTGATTGGGGTCACCCCATTTGAGGCACTGATCAGCGACTTTTCTTTCCTGCCAAACCTCTTCTGTGATTCCCAATTGCTTCCAAGGCTCCCATTCGGGCAGACCTGGATGGGGTGGATATGGTTTACCCCAATTTCCATACCACGTGCCTCTTCCTCTCCCCCATGTAGAATATGAACCCCGACCACCTTGCGAGGGACCTTTGCCCCTTCCACCCACGTAGTAGCTTCCTTCGCCACCACCTCTCTGGGTAACGGGTCCTCTTTCACCACGTCCACGGCCTCCTCTTCCTCGGCTGCGTCCTCTTCCTTGTCGCCCTCCCCCGCGGGCTGCAACGGCCGCGTAGCTTCCCTCCTGAGCTACCGGACCTTTGGGTCCTTCCTCAAGACCATAGTCTATCTGGTCATAGAAAAGAGTTTCGACACCTCCTTCAAAGGTCAGAAGGAGGTTGTCTTTCCCAAGGATATTCCCTGAGATTGTGCGGTTCTGCCATTTCTTTCCTGCTTGCAGATCTTTCCAATAATGGTAGTAATTAGCTTTGGCTAAGAAGCCAGCATGATCTATAGCGATCTTGCTGAACTTGTCGTATGCCATCCCCTCTTCTTTTGTGAGGGGATAAAGCTGAGTACGAAGAGGGTTAGAAAGTGCTCTTGCGAAGTTATCGAGTATTTGGGTAGGAGTTAATCCATGTTCTGCGCACTGTAAGAGTTCGTCCATTGTGGCTTTGAGTGCAGACGCACTCTTCCATTTTCGGTCTGCGATGTTTAGAATTAATATTTCTCTTCTGCGAGCTAGATTTTTATCTTCAAACCGTTCTCTGACAACTTCAAAGAAATCTTCAATTCTAGTCTGCTGGGAATATGCAATCGTAGTATCGCAGTTAGCTTCTTTTTGCAACGAGATGGCGAAGCTCATCGCATCGCCAGCCATATATGAAGTAGCCATCAGAACTCTATCCCAATAAGGTATGCGCTGACCGTATACATATGATTCTACGTCCACGATCCAATGTAGAACACTCTCCTCCTTCTTGTCAGTGTAAGTCCACGACACTTTAACTTTTATTTTCCTGACATCGATATATTCATCGTCTCGTAGCACTCCCTTTCCTTTTCTGTCTCCATCGCCTCCATCTCCGTCTCCATCACCACCTCCTCCGCCTCCAGCGCCGCTACCTCGGACGATCTTATCAATTACGACAAGAGTAAAGGTTTGTGTGATGTGGTTATCTAACTTTTGAATATAAGATTGAACGTGCAGATCCACGTCCTTGGCGGACTTTTGCAGAAAGGTATTCCAAACCCCCTCAAACTCGTATCGGTGGCTTTCAACTTTTTGCAGGGTCCGGTGCATTGCGGCTACCTCTTGCTTGGTATGAAGGACTGTTTCCGTCAAGAGAGCAAGTTTTTCTTCGGTTACCGCCTGTTTGCCTTTCTGTGCTTGCAGCTCGCTTTGCAGCCTTGCCCCCTCTGCGTGTAATCTTTTCCTTTCGTCAAGTTCTTGTCGCTTCGCTGCTAACATTTTACTAAGCAGCTCCGCGCGTTTTTCTTCAAGCATGAGGTCCCTTTCTTTCTGGTCTGTAATGGTTGCTAGTCTTGCAACAAACATGTCCCTTTCTTCCTCTGTTTCCTCAAGTCTGTCACTAGAATAGGCATACTGGTCGTACCAGTCCAGCGGTTTGACATTAAGTTCACCACTTGTCTGGCTTGTCTCACCTCTTTCTGCCCGCCGCCTGATGAGCCTGTCATCGGCATGTTCATCTTCTTCTTCAATTGTCTGCAATTCTTCTTTCAATTCTTTCTCTAACTTTCTTGCATTTCTTTTCTCATTCTTTCTTCTTCCATTTGCATTTTCTTCTTTATCTCTTCTTCCTTTTGCTTTTTCCTTTCTTCTCTTTCTTTTTTCTTTTCTGCCTGATGGCGATCCACTTCAGCCTGCTCTGCAGGTGTGAGCCCTGGCTTTATACCTCCTGATCTCATCATCATACGGGAGGTGCATACCCTCCCGAAGCCCAGGGGAAAAAGAACTCTGAACAAAGGACCCATCAGAACAGAAAGGGCGATCAAGCCCTTCATTGGGAAGTCGTACACCATGGTGGCACTTAGCACAGGGAACCCTCCGCTGGTCGCACCAGGTAGGCCTCCCAACTGTTGTCCTTGGACTAATCTAAGTGGATGGAATAAAACAACTTTGCTTTGTCTGTTTTTTTTTTTTTTTTAATTTTCCAAACTCTGGGTGTCGCTGCCCCGGTAAGAACGAATTTCAGAATATTAAATACGCAATAGGACTTTTTTCCTTTTTTTTTTCTTTCTTTGCTGTCTGTCGGCAACTTCAAATATTGAGCTAACTACAACAGATATCACACTTGATCTTGTCTGGTGATGAATGTTGTTCTTTCTTCTTTCTTTTATCTTCTTTTCTAACCCTGTCTGTTTGTCCTTCTGCGCAGGTCGAGCTGGAGTGGTACTCGATAAGATGCCTGGACAATACTTCGATCCCAACTTGTCTCTGCCCAGATTAGTTATGCCTTATATCGTACGTGCATATTGAAGTGGCAGACTGCCACCACCTCCCAGCGTACTCTTCCCTTAGCTACAACGCAGACTCTGGACTAGAGGGTAGAAGATAGAAGGACTCTGACCACTCTTGACCCTGACGTGACCAGACCCTTTGACCTCGATCATCCAGACCACAGACCCTGTGACTCGATTCGACAGCAGCAGCAGCGCCCCAGAGAGGATGAGGAGTGGAGATGCACATACACATGCAGCCAGGTAAGGGGAAAAGGGTGCTTCTCTCTTTTGCAGTGATCGTCGATGGAGGCTCCTCGTCGCTCCACACTCCACGCTTCAGGTAAGTATCACTTCTGCCCCTTCCTCTTCGGCCTACTCCTCTCCCATATCCCAAACCACCTCTTCTTCCACCATCGCCAGCATCATCAACAAGCCAGCATGCTCTTCTTCTTGCTCTCTCTTCTCTCTCAATAACTCTGTCTTGGTTCTCTTTCCTTCACCATGCATGCACACTCTCACCTACGAAGATCTACTCTGAATGTCACTCACTGATATCCCACTACTGACTATCCCTACTACTACTAACATAGGCTGGCGCAGCTATTGCTTCCCTGCAGCCAGCGCCCAGCCTCATTTCCTCCCTGGCGCAGATTCTTCTTCAGCGCCCAACTCCCTGCACTATAGCGCACAAGTGCCTCAGCACTTCCACGCATCAATGCCCATGGGAATCTGCCTGTGGGGGGGGCTGCCTCGTTTCTTATAGTGCTGGCCTCCCCTGGCGAGGTCTGAATTCTGCCTGTCCTGGTCCTTTCCCAGTCCCAGCCTCTGTGTATGTGTCCCAGATCCCTTTCCTTCAGGGGTTGCTGCTGCTGCGGCCTTCAGGCCATGATTTCGGACTCCCAATCTGAATCTAGACTTTCTTTCTGTCTCGAATCTGGACTGGAACTTGACTCTTTGACTTCTGCTGGACAGACACACCCAATGGACGAACAGACACTCTTCCTGCACGAACAGACACATCTCTTGTTTGAATAGACATGACTTGCATTGCCCCTGGTGAACAGATGTGACCTCAAAATCTAAACATGGTGACTGTTCGTCCAGGGCCCAACCATGACCTTTGACATTGTCTTTACTTTAGCCAGGATGTGACCTTTGACCCAGAGAACATGTCTTTTGATCTGCTTTCACGAATTGGGCTCTGGGCGAGGGACCCCGATATGCTGCTTTCGTCGATCAGGGGCTGAATCCGGTAAAGGCCCTTTTACTCCACATCAAGCACAAAAACGAAAAAAAGAGCAATACATTGAATACATTTAAATTTCAGCTCTCTGTTCTTCAGGACATCCGTTAAAATTGGAATGATACAGAGAAGATTAGCATGGCCCCTGCGTGCAAGGATGACACGCATCAATCGAGAAATGGTCCCCAAAAAAAAAAAAAAAAAAGGCTTTCTCTCTCTCTCTCTCTCTCTCTCT